TCCCTGATTGACTCAAGGGTTACCGGTACCAACCAAAGTGCCACATCAACGTAGCTACTGCTTCAACCGTGTCGGTATACCCCAACATAGTTCCCTCACAATTTATTGCTACTTACCTAAAAGTTGTTCCCCAGATCTGGGTGTAGGATCTATAGTAACCCCAAACAAGCCCTCGAAAGTAAAGCAATCAAGAGAAGCAATTTAATGACCTAGATCCTAAGGTATACCTCACTTCATATAATTCCTCAGCAGAGTCTCCAGTTCTGTAATACGGTGGCAGAACCGACTATTTTTACTGGTTTGCATTTTGCGTTTTTTTGTTCGCAAAATTTCACGGTAAGCAAGAGTCGCCACCGACTTTTATTTCATCCAATCATGGAAAAGGAAAAAGAACAGAAAAAACCTTTTTTCGAGATATTCTGAGTATGGGGGGGGGGGGGGGGGGTAGATTATAGAAAGGGAAGGTGTTAGCACCCTTTCTATCCATGGTTTTCCATGGGCTCTTAGGTACTTGCTCATTTTTCAATTGCTTGTGTGTGTTTGTTTTGAAAATGTTTTGCTTCATGATAACCCTTGTATCAGTCCTTAAGGGTGTGACAAAGTTTGTTTTGAAAATTTGTTTTGAAAGTGAAATTTTTTTACTGAGCAAGTACTTAAGATTCTACCTACTCGAAAAAAGATTATTCGTTCTCGTTTCCTTTAGACAACACTATCCTACTATTAAGGAGTAGGTAGCACCGTCGTTGGAGTTGTAAGGGACATTCGAAAGGGACAAATACAATCACTAAAGCAATAGTTAGAAAACCTTAGTAGTAACCCTAGAGTCTTAAGATCTTTTCGAGGCAACGTTTCCGAGGCAAAATTCGAATGGGACATTTGATCTTTTAGACATGAGGGCGACCATTAAAATTTCCTATGCTTAATGACTGTTTACCAAAGGCAACCAGAGTGAGGCAAACCCTAGGAGTGAACATGTGCATGTGAACTTTTTTCAATTATTTAGTCTTTTCACATTAGGTGATCTACCATTTTAAATTTCAAGCATTCTTTTCATACAATCCTATTAGCCATGCATCTAGACAGTTAAAGATTGTAGGAATTTAAAGTGAGAAAAACAAAACCTAGCTATTACAAGGCTTTGGGGAGGGGGATTAATTACATAACCAAAAGTGGGGGAAAAGTGATAAATAAAAACCTTAGTTTTAACTATTACAAACCAATAAGCAGTTACATAATTATGGACAAATACTCAACAAGCGCGCGAAAAATTAAATGCGAGGACGATTGAAATAACCTAAAACCCTAATTGAGAGAAAAAGTGTTTTTGTGGATTTTTATTTGAGAAAACATTTAAATTACAAATCAATTAAACCTAATTTCTAATTGTTTTTAAATTATGAAAGAAATTAAATTAACCTAATTTTCTAATTAAATTAATTAATTAAATAAATTGATATTTATGAGAAAAGTGATTTTTGATGTATTTTTAAAGAAAATTAATTAAATTATGTACAACTAAAATCCTAATTCTAATTATTTTTAATTATAAAAAGATTAAATTTCCCTAACTTAATTAAACTAACTAATTTTAAAAAATAAAAATATTATTAAAAAAAATAATTATGTGATTTGTAATTTGTTAATAAAAAATAATATTGTGTTAATTAAAAGAAAAAGAAAATAATTAAAGAAAATAAACAAAGAAATTAAATAAAAAAAAGAATAGAAAAATAATAAAATGGGCCTGTTGTTGAATTGCTGAAGGGGGTGTGAAGCTAAAATTTCAAGCCCAATAATGCTGAGCCCAGTCAACCACGCTGGATCCTGTGGAGCTGGCCTTCATGAGGTCCATCATGAGGATGCAATCTAGAGACATTGGATCTAAACAACGTGCCATCCAATGGTGATGAGGCGTAGATCCATGGTATGCTTGTTTGATGAGAAACACCAGATCTGCCTGAAATAAATAGGAAAATAACAAAATGCACCCACCTGGGATCGAACCCAGGACATGTGCATCAAAGGCGCGCCTCTCAACCATCTGTGCTGCTTGTTATTTTGTTAACATAGATAAATGAAATATAACATAATACAAAAGCACATGATGCCCAGAAAAACACGCGTGAATTCAAATGGACCAGTGGGATGGTGACAAGTCATTGTCTTCTTCCATGTCCATCGTCTTAGGTTATTAACCTATACCTACAGACGTTTGTTGTAACTACAGCCCTGCAAAACTCAAAAGTTCATATCAAGCATGATAAATCAATTCCATCGATACCAATCAACTCGTCTTGGCCTCACGAGCATCATGGTATGATTTTCTTGGCCTAATTTTTTATGTATCAAGAAACCCCAAAAACTTCTCACGAACCCTAACAATGGCAAGTGTGGATCCCTGCACTATTAATATAATTAAAGGATATAGAAAGTTTGCAAACACGATTATGAACAAGAATATATGAATATAATGGATTTATAATGCGTAAAACATAGTAAACGATTTTGAGAATTTTGGGTAAACCGTGATGTGTCTAGGCGATGGTTCTTGATGTTTTGAAGGCTGCAAATGATGTTGTTGGCTTCAGGAGATGGCCAGGAAGTGATTAGGGTCTTTGAATGGCCTGGAATCGTCCTCTAGGGCATAAATCAAATGCATACTTTTTATCCAATTTTTGAGTTTTTGTTCTTGCTCCCCACGATTGCAAAACCTCTCCTTTTGATCTGCAATTGTTATGCACTTATAGTAGACTGAATTAGGTCAATAAAATTGGCATGAATCTTGAGAAATAATGGAAATTGAATTTGATTTGCTCTTGTATGATATATTTCTAAAACAAGCTTCAATCCAATATTTTTCCATCCAAATCCACTTTGCACGAATTGGCTGGCATGTTAGCTGTACATGGACTCAAAATGTGCATAAAAAATCAAGGATTTAATTTGATTTCATTATTTTACTATTTTATATTGATTTGTTTTGATTTAAATGAAATAAAATCAAAATAAATAATATAAATAATAGAATAATAGGTGGAAAAGCTCAGAAGTCGTGGGTCCTGTTAGAAACATGTTTCAAACAAGAAAACACGGGCCTCTTTGGAAAAAATGCAAATTTGGTCAATATTGACTTTTGACAATTTTCCAAAAATTGTCAACTTTGACAATGCATATCTCTCTCAATTTTGACCCTAGGAGGGTGTTCTTGGACTTTTTAGAAAGCTTAGGATGTCCCTTAACCAACCCTTTTGGTTTCATTTTAATTGGGTCTTCCATGTTTATGTAAGAAGCTTTGACCTAAAAGGTGTTTTTGTTGATTTTTCAAAAGGACCTATAATGTAGAAATTCATATCTTTTGATGAGTGCATATTTTGAAGTTGTGGGATGAAGATGAATTATAGGGAATTTCATCCTCTTCAAAATAAGCCTTGGATGGAAAATTTCTGATAAAGTATGAAAAAGTTATGCTTGGTCAAAGTTTGGTTGTCTTTTCCTAAGAAACCCTAATTTAACAACTTTTGGATTTTGATGAATTTGGAGCATTCCTTGGGGAATCATGATCAACCATTGATCAAATGATGAAAGTCATTTCAAAATGTTGATGTTGACCAAAAATCTTGAGGTTTGACTGTATGTGGGCCACAGTTGACTCTTGACCTAGTATAGTCGATTCTCAAGTATCTGAACAGTTGACTGAGCAAACTTCTTATGCAAGGCCTGAAACTTGGCATGGATGATCTTGGGAACATATTAGGGCCTTGGAAATCATTTGAGTCCTTGTGGTTCGCGCATCTTGATGAAAATGGAAACCCTAATTTGAGGTATACTACCTTAGGAGAGAATTTGTCTGGTCAACTCTTGGACTTCCTTGAGCAACCTGGGGACCTCAATTGACATTGATTGAGTAAAATGGAAGGGAAAATTTTGAAGTACAAGACTGCTTGGGAAAAAAGATACCAAAATAACATTGTTATACCTATTCAAATTGTTATCAAAACTAATACTATTTCTATTGGACAAATCTCTCCCAAATAAATCTCTCTTAAGCACATCTCAATCATTAGTCATGTTTGTTCATTTTGAGTTATCGATACATTAGTTTCATAACTGATTTACCCCGCCATAATTTTTTCTATGATCTCATCCTTATTTTTGTCTCAATCCCTAATTTAAACCAATGGTAAGAGAGAATGTGCTTGAAAAAAATGAAATGTACAATATCTATGAAGTTTCATTATGGGAGGAGGCGGGGCAATGAACTTGCTATAAATGTTGTGGAAGTTGAGGAAGAAATGATATAAATCTTTGATATGGATGACTTGAATATATAGTAAAAAAGACCTTTAGAACATGTGCAAAATGTCCAAACTAGTTGGGTTTTCATGGTAGTTCGTCATGTCTTGTCACAAAACTATTGGACCAACATCAAAGCACACGTGAGTCAAGTAGTCCATACCAGACACTTTTATTACAACAATTAGTTCAATTAAGATCGTGTGATGAGGAATATGAAGAGTATTTAATAGAGAACCATTGGATAAAATATAATAGTAACTATTTTCATCGACCTTGGAAGACAAACCATTACACCCTTTTAATATGTATCATAATTACGCCTATCAAGTATCTTATGGTAATTATAATATTATCATCTTTATTAAATAAGATTAATAGTTTATATATAAAAGAAAGAGGAGAAGAAAAATTAACAAAAGGTAAAAACTAGCAAATTGACCAAAGACAAATCTGACTAATGAAAACTTCCAAGCCCTTAAAAGTTCTGAAACTGAAAGAATAGCCTTTACCCTTCCCTAGAACCCTCTACCCTTTACAAGATTCCCTCTTCCTTTCACAATCACCACAACAATTTACTACATTTTCCCGCCAAAAGAAAAAACCCTCTCTTTTCTCACCCTTTCCTTTCCCCCTATATTACAATTTACTACATTGTGAATGTTACGAAACAACAAGTAAAAAAAGAAAGATATAGTTCCAAAACTATGAAGGACACATCCAAAGTTATCATTGGAGCAACCTTAGTAATGGTTGTTACCCTTGCTTTTGTTGTAGCCCTCATTCTTGTTCTTCTAGCGGAACTCTATTGCTCTCTTTTACTTCATCGCCACAAACTCAAGAACAAAAACACTCGAACCTTAACCAACACAAAAACCACCTTAACTAATGTTTCTTCTCCTTCACAATCACATTCACCACAAAACTCTCCTCCTCCACCGCCACAAAACTTTACCAACATTTACTCACAAGGTGTTCTCCAACCTCCAAGAAACTTTCTTTTTCCTTGCATGGAAAATAATTCCAAAGAACAACAAAACAAACTTCATCAAGTTATCAACATTCAAACACATGATGAATCATTAGTTTCATCACCATCACTATCAATGTCACCTTTTCTATCAAGAGCTCCACCACAACAAAAAAACACAACAACCCAACAAAGTAATGTCGGTGAAGCTCCATGTCAAGAAAAAAATGAACTTGTGTACATTTCCAATCCCATTTACGAAAATGAAGAAGAAAAAGAAAGTGGTGTAGAAGTAAATACACCATTTGAGACACCTAATACTTCACCTTCACATTTAGAAAAAAGTGACGGTAATGGTGATGGTGGTGTTGTTACAGCTGAAGTTGAAGTTTATACACCACCTTTGACTCCAATGAAGAAGCTAGATGCAGAAGCTTGTTCTCTTTCTCTTAGAGATGTTAGGTCCTTAGGTACTAATGGAAGTGATTCTATAATTTCACGTAGTGTTAATGGTTTATCTTCTTCATCTTCTGATTCACCTTCTACTTCTCCTTCTTGGTGATTTTTGTTTCATATCAATGTCTTAGTTAGATTTGAATTTTGAAGTAGAAGTTTTTTTCTTGTTTAGTTTAGTTTGTTTTGTTTTATGTGGTAGCTACTAGCTAGTTTGTGAATAATATTAATTATTAGTTGTGGTTATTATTTAATATTACTGCATTTACATTTTGTCTCTTTCAATGTCTATGAAATGAGCTATTGTGAATATTTTTTTATTGAATTTATATTGCATTTGTGTTTTGGATCATTTTGTCTACAAATATAAACAAGATTGAATAGTTGAATTGGTGAGATTTTTTTAGTCATGGTTCACTTGTATTAAAGTGTTTGAAAAATCCTCAGTGACAATCTTAAACATCATATTTAGTCTGTGTGTGATTTTTATAAAAATATTAGCTATGTTGATTTTAAAATTAAATTGTTTATTAAAAATATTTTTATTAACTATATATAGATAAACAATTAATTAAAATAAAATACTATTTAAGTGATAGAATATTGCAAAGTAAATAAATATTACCTATTGTGGTTATAATTAGTCAAAAATTCTATTTAGAGTGTGTATAGATTCACAATGGACATAATTAATTCAATCAGAATTAAATTTGGTATAATTAATTTTTATATAAAAGTGAGTTAAACAATAAATTTTGATATAAAAATCACTTAAAATCAATTTTAAAAAAATTATAAATTTTAATTTCAAGTAGAATTAATTTTAAAAACATAATTACTTTTATTTTTGATAAAATGAATACTTCAAAGTTATCCTGAATCAATTCTATATCTATGTAATTATTTCAGAATTTTCCAAAAGCCAATCTATCTAAACATGTTATAGAAACCATAACTTATAAGATTGTTAGATAGAAACTTCTTTAGTTGTTTATAAGAAGTGTTATCTTAACTTAGCATTTTGTTTTGCTTACGGGGTACTTTGAACAAAATATTAAGCTAAGCTAACACTTCAAAAATCTACAATTTGTTTTTATTAATTAATTTTTTTCTTTTTATAAACTAATTAAAATTATTTAAAAATATTAAATTTATAATTTATCATTTCTCTTTCATTTTTGTCTTTGCTATCTTAACTCCAAATTAAAAAAAACAAAATTTATAATAATTTTATATTATAGTCTAATTTAAATATACTATTTGATTTTTAATTTATTTTCTATTAATTAGTAAATAAATAGTTGAAACTAAATTATAAAATTATTATTTAATCAAAATTCTTGAAAATTTAAAATATTTAAAGAACCATAATTATATACAAATCTAAATATTTTATATAAAAATAGTTTTCATAGATTCACTATTTTTCTTTACCAAAGACATACGATTTAGTATTTAGCCTAGGTAGAAAAAGATAAGGTTACCCGTACATGTTGCTTTTCAAGCATGGCCATATCACTTTCTAGGCACGTCACACTCATGATGCCATCTCTACTTTTTACTCTCTGTCTGAAAATTAATATCGATTTAAAAATTTATATATTTGGGAAACACATGTGATATGCATTTATTTTCATCTCTTTGCTTAGTTTTTAAAAGTAGTTGTTGTGTTCTCTAGTTGCAGAGTCTTGTTCTTCTTTTTTTTGGTTTGCTTTTGGGATTGGAGTGTGCGTGCACGTGAATTTTGAAGGATAAACTAGAATGGAAAATAGTTTTTTTTTTTAAATCTTGTTTTTTCTATCAATTATATGAAAATATTTTAATTATATCTCGGTTTTTGAGGAGCATCGAATTATGATTCCAATGTCTCATGCATGGAACTAGAAGTCTATATAAAAAAACAAATATTGTCATAGTAACTGCAACAAATCCCATTCTTGTAAATTTGTAATCACAAGCTCCTTCGTTCTCTTTTAAATGTCATTTTATTTTAAAAATTTATTTCTTTTTAAATGTTATTTTAAAGTTCAAAATAATATTAATTACGGTGTTGTCAAAATTACTTTTAATTATTATTTTAAAGAGACAAAAAAATTAAATTAATTATTAAAAAATTAAAGATATTATAAAAAAATTATAATTATTTAAAAGGTAACAATAATTATTAATTATCTTAGTATAAAAAATTTAAAAAGAACCAATTGAAATATAAACTAATGAGCTCTTTGTGTCTAAAGAACTTTTTTGATATATATATATATATATATATATATATATATATATATATATATATATATATATATATATATATATATATATATATATATATATATATATTATCTTGATTTAAAAATTAATGTTAACAGTTTATTGTCATTGCAAAATATAATATTAAAATTATTTTTAAATAATTTTAAATGAACTCGATGACAAGGATATTTAAAATCAAACAGATCAAATGAAAATTATTAATCAAAAATTAAATAAAAAATTACAAAAATTATATTTTGTCGGATGTATTCTAGAATTGTGTGGTTCGATTTAATTTATAATTTGTATTTTTTAAATTGAACCAAATCAAATCAGTACATTATGTTACAAAATTTTATAAATTATTATATATTTTTTAGTTCTTTCGAGAAATAAACAAATTATATATATATATATATATATATATATATATATATATATATATATATATATATATATATATATATATATATATATATATATATATATATATATATATATATATATATATATATATATATATATATATATATATATATATATATATATATATATATATATATATATATATATATATATATATATATTTTGATGAACAGACTAATACACGACGGATATAAAATTCTTCTTATTTATAAGAACCTTAAGGATTAACAACAAATATAAGATGGCAAATCAAACAAATAATGACACAAAAGAACATCAATATTTTAACGTGAAAAATCCTTCAATATGAGAATAAAAATCATGAGTCGTTCAGACTAGATAAATAGCTACACTTTACTTAATTAAATGTATAAGAGAGTCTTAAAGTGATTCACAAACTAGTGATAACAACCACAAATCACAAAGCAAATTAGTTTACAAATAAGAATAAAAAAGCTGAAAAATTACCTAAATATGTAGCTTCAGTGCAAATTTGATCTCTCTCAGCTAAGACCTTATTTTAAAGATTACGACGGTCAAAAGTTAGATATATGTGTTGTGAATCTGTCCTCCAAATTTGAACTCGATCTGACGGCTAACGAGTTCGAGATCATCGATTTAGAGAGACTGGTTGCAGAAAAACGTGAATATATTTCTCTCCTCTTTTCTCTCTTTTGAATCATTATTTTTCTGTCTATCTCACTTAATCCTAATTGAACTTCTCCACTTAAATAAGTGAGACAAATTGATTATTCACAAATGGGTCTTTCTCCATATAGGAAGGGAGCCCAAACCCAATAAACCTCCCCCTCACAATTATGTGGAGGAAATCTCCAAATCAACGATATCACAATAGCTTCAAACTTTCCTCTTGATAATGCTTTAGTCATCATATTAGAATCATTATCATATGTGAATTTTAGCTAACTCCAACAACTTAGCTTTCAAAATATTATGTATCTAATGATATCTCACATCAATGTGTTTGGACCAATTATGAAAAGTCAGATTCTTACCAAGATGAATAGCGTTTTGACTATCAACAAATAACACATATTTGTCTTGAACAAAACCAAGCTCCTATAAAAACATTTCAACCACAATTACTATTTGCATGCTTAGGTAATGGTAATGAACTCACTATAGACAATGTTACACACTTTTGCAATCTAGACTGCCAAGCCACAACTGCCCCTGCAAATTTAATCATGTAGCATGAAGTGGACTTTCTGAAATCAATGTCTCCAGCTATATCAGAGTCTGAGTACCCCAATATAGTAGGCTTATCTCCTCCAAAGCAAAACCTCATATAAGTAGTACCGCGAAGATACCTTAAAATCTAATTTACAATTTTCTAATATTCTCTACCTGGATTTGACAAAAAATTGCTAATTGTACCAACAACAAGTGTTATATCTAGTCATGTACACACCATTGCATACATCAAACTATCCACAACAAACACATAAGAAACACGTTTCATATCAAACGCTTCATCTTTACTTGAAGGACTTTGATTAGAACTCGACTTGAAATGAGTGGCAAGAGGAGTGCTTACCGCCTTAGAACTTTCCATTTTGATTCTTTCCAACACTATTTTGATATAATGTTCTTGTGACATTCAAAGTTTCTTCTCCTTTCTGTAATACATGATTCTAATGCCAAGAATCTATTTAGCCGCTCCCATGTCTTTCATGGAAAACAAATCGCTCAATTGCTTCTTTAACCTGTCAATGTTAGAAATATTTTTCCCTTAAATGAACATATCATCAACATATATCAACAAGATAATGAAGTCATCGTCTAAAAATTTTCTAACAAAGAAACAATGTTCTAAAGTAGTCTTATGATATCTTTGATCACACATAAATGATTCAAACTACTTGTACCATTGCCTTGGAGCTTACTTCAATTCATATAAACACTTTCTTAATCTACACACATGATCTTCTTTTCCTTTAACTTGAAAACCATCAGATTATTTCATGTAGATCTCTTCTTCCAAATCACCATGAAGGAAATCCATTTTCACATTCATTCACTCAACCTCTAAATCAAGAGTAGCAGTCAAACTCAATATGGTTCTAATTGATGACATCTTTACAACAGGTGAGAAAATCTCATTAAAATCAACACCATTTCTTTGATGAAAACCTTCCACCACTAATAGGGCGATTAAAACCAAAGTCCAACTCAATAGGGCTTCCACCACTAATAGGGCAAGTGAATAGAAGAAGAAGAAGAATAAGACATCGCAAGAGAAGGAAAAATTCAAGAATGTGATACCTCTGATTATCTGATTTCTCGTCGCCACCGTCAAAGGAGCATCAAACTCGTCTCCAGTAGGTAAACACTATTATCTCGCCTCCTTCACTATTTTGTCCTTCCTACTGAATCTTCGTGTAGAGCATATTTTTTAGGAGGAGGATTTTA